GCGTCTTTCACTGATCACTAAACTTTGAAAAACCTTTTCAATTATTCACTATACTTTGAAAAGTGTCTTTAATTGCTCACTGAAATTTGAGGTGATCGAATTTTGGTCACTAAACTTAGAAAAATAATGTCGGCCTGTTGTTCGCTAAAAATGTGTGTCGCAAGTGCACATGTCTTGTCCAACGTTTGGATAGGTTTAGTGATCAAAATTAGACATTTAAATTTTAGTGGGGAATCGAAGACGTGTGCTTAAGTTCAGTGATTATTGGAACAATTAACTCAACAAAACAATGATTAATGTAATAACTTAAGATTAATAATGGAGTTTTGTTGTTGATGATTTAAAAGAAAATTATCTTCATAATTTTATTTACCAATATAATTCATCATTAAATAAATAAATTAAATAATACTCCAAAATAAGCTAATTAAACAAAAAAAAAATAGTTTGAATTTATGAACAATTTTTCAGTAAATAAAATAATATTTAAAATATAAAAACGTTTATAAGATTTATTTTATCAACAAAAAAGTCTTCAATAATTTTTTTTTTTTTTGACAAAATCAAGGCATTTTTTTTCCAGAAATGACATAGGTATATGCTATTACACCAAACACAATCTTGAAAAACACCTTGTGCTTTTATCCAATAATAACATGGGCGGCTCCCTTGACCTCGTCTTGAATATGGTAGAATTGCATGGAGAAGAGAGTATCAATTTTTTGTGACCAATGTGGTTGATAATATCCCCCTTCGAGGTGGGCACTGAACGTCGTTATGAATAATTAATAAAAATAAATAATACTAAATGGAAATTTTCGTCATGCATAAAATCACAGATAAAAATGTAAATTCAATAATATTTCGATAAAAAAAATAAAAAGATATTTGAACCATTTCATTAGTAGCTTATAAAATAAAATAAATAATTGTCATTGATGCTAAGTGATTGCTGTTGACATCAGATATTGAAGAACCCTAGGTGATAACATCTTGGACTATATTTTTTTCAGTAATCATCGAGGAAGGTGCATCTGTAATTATCAATAATATCATTACTGGTGTTTCCCTTCGAATCACCGGCATATGTTGATTTTTATTATATGTTTTAAGGAAATTTTCATAAGTGAGTATTTTTTTTCCATTTATTTTATATTATCATTCTCGAAAATATTCCCTCAAAGAGTTTTTTCCTAAGATCTCCAGGTCGTTTGAGCCGCCTCAAATTTGATCGGACGCTTTGAAAGCCCTAGTGCGAGAACTACCTCCATACATTGAAAGGTATTTTCAAATAATATGTATAAAGTGAACAAAGCGATATCATCAACAACTCTATTAATATAGAACGTGCTAAATCAAACTAGTAAATTTTTCCGACTGCATAAGTGGCTTGTAGCCCTTGATAGCATATATACAACTCATAATCAATCAGAACAATACCAAAGGAGCCATCACGGTTACTTTAACCATAGAATTATGGAGGGATTCCCATTTTAAACGTTCTAATCTACAGAAGAGCACAGGAGGCATGGATGGCATATTTTAAAGGGAGCTTCGAAGCCAAGGCTATGAAAACCGGTTGAGGTCAGGCCATGGCAATCTTTAGCCTTTTATACCTAGTCTTACAACGATGAGGCTTGATGACTAAGCAGGTTCTCCAATGATGGGCTTGAAACTAAGGCTTCATGCCATTGAAGACTATCCTGAAAGCGATTAGTAAGCAAACTAGGATTCGTAAGATTTGACTTTGATCTGCCAATGAACCTTGGTTCACACTAAGCAAAATGAACAATGTTTTTGAAAAAAGTTACTTTTTGTTGCAATCTAATTGCGACTCTATCAACTTTGATATGACAAAGAAAAAAGAAACTTATTAGACATGCTGACTTGACAAAATTTATAATTTCCATGTAGATTTAGGCCCTGTTTGATATCATAAGTTTTCCATGGAAAATGGAATTCAAATTTCATTTTCACCCAAAAAGCATGTTTGATGGGCAAAAAGTTCTTGACAATTGATTTTCCCACCCAACCCCCCATGTGCACCTTTTCTTGATTTTGGAGGAATTGCTTTTCCCACCATTTTGGTGGGAAAATGAAATTCCAGTTTTTTTTTTTTTTCTTCAATTGAAACAAATTTTATAACCAATTGTAAAAAAAAAAATTAATTTTAATGGACAATTTCCATGTAAAGAAAGTCAAACGAACACTAAACTTTGATGAAAAAATGATTTTCTTGGAAATATTTTTTTTTTGTTTTTTTGTTTTTTTTACTTTTTGGCAATTGAAACAAATTTTATAACCAATTGTGGAAAAAATTATCACTTTATATAGACAATTTTCATGTAAAACAAAGTCAAACGAACACAAAAAGATTCAAAATTTTAAAATTTTTCCGGTGGAAAATTATACCAATCAAACACACTTAATTAACAATTCACTGAAAAACAAGTTTTAAACAATTATTTTCTCTGGAATTCGTTTTCTTTCCACCCATTTTCCACCTTTGCAACCCCCAATGTGTAGGTTTCTTGATTTTGGAGGAATTGCTTTTCCCACCATTTTGGTGGGAAAATGAAATTCCAGTTTTTTTTTTTTTTCAATTGAAACAAATTTTATAATCAATTGTAAAAAAAATTTAATTTTAATGGATAATTTTCATGTAAAATAAAGTCAAACGAATACTAAACTTTGATGAAAAAATGATTTTCTTGGAAATATTTTTTTTTGTTTTTTGTTTTTTTACTTTTTGGCAATGGAAACAAATTTTATAACCAATTGTGAAAAAATTATCACTTTAAATAGACAATTTTCATGTAAAACGAATACAAAAAGATCCAAAATTTTAAAATTTTTCAGGTGGAAAATTATACCAATCAAATACACTTAATTAACAATTCACTGAAAAATAAGTTTTAAGCAATTATTTTCTTTGGAATTCGTTTTCTTTCCACCAATTTTCCACCCTTTCAATCAAACGGAGATTTGAATTTGTTTTTATTATGAGAAAATACCAATGGAAACTAATTTTGGGATCCCATATTCCTATATTTGAGAAATCCAATCCATTAAATTGACAACGATAAGGTCGTTGACTATTAGAGCATCTTCAAAATACTCTTTAAAGACAAGACGCTTTCTATTTTAAAGAGTTAATCCTTAAAATTATACTTCAAAATACTCTTTAAATTAAATTTTAGTTTAGTGAGCGAGTTTGACTCTATAAATTCGAATAGCCAAACCCACTTTTTTATAATTAAATGCGTACAACGTATTTCAATTTTCAATAGAGTAAAATAACATAATAATTTAGAGGAAAGCTAGTGAAAATAAAAAATAGGGAAAAAATTATTATATCTTTTGTGGAGTAGTAAAAGTAAAGTGTTAAATATAAAAAGTCCGTTGGAGTACTTAAACTTTTTTACTCTTTAAAAATAGTCTTTAGAGAGATTACTCTTTACAGTCTAGATAGAATTATTCTTTAAACTTGAGTAATGCTATTTATTGAAAGAATGAAAGGACTAATCTAATATCAATTGAATGATTGGAAATCTTAAAGGATTTTATATTCCTATATTTGACTAACATAATATCAATTAAATGATTGGAAATCTTAAAATATTTTATATCCTATATTTAACTTACAGCTAGATTATTAATCATCAATCTCAATAACCAGGGATGACAACGGAATCCCCGCACACAAGTTCAAGATTCGAAGGGCTAATTAGATGCTTAATTTGCACCCTTAAGCAAGCTTCTATTCTAAGACCCTGTTTGAAATCAAAAATTCCATTTTCCAACTTTTGCCTTGTTTGATACCATAAATTTGCCATGTAATTGATTTTCCCAAAATGGCTCCCAAGTGCACATTTTCTAGGAAATCATTGAATTGATTTTCCCACCATTTTGGTGGGAAATTGAAATTCTAGCTTTTTTTTTTTATTAGTAATTGGAACAAATTTTATAACAAATTGTTAAAAAAAATTTCACTTTAATGGACAATTTTCCATGTAAAATAAAGTCAAACGAACACTAAATTTTGATTAAAAAAATGATTTTTTAAGAATTTTTTTTGTTTGGTAATGGAAACAAATTTTATAACCAATTGTGAAAAAAATTATAACTTTAATGGACAATTTCCATGTAAAATAAAGCCAAACGAACACAAAAAGATAACAAAAAGATCCAAAAATTTAAAATTTTTTCTGGTGGAAAATGATATCAATCAGACACACTTCTTTAACAATTCCCTGAAAAATAAGTTCTAGCCAATTATTTTCTCTGGAATTCATTTTCTTTCCACCTATTTTTCACTATTGCAATTAAACGGACCCTAAATATGATTACTGACTTCTAAAGTGTAGTAATATATAAAGTGGTTTTTGCCTTTGTAAACTTCCCATATGGGACAAACTTTAGGGGCTGTTTGTTTCTGATTCTCAAAATCAATTCTCATTTTCAACCACACATTCTTCAATAAAATAATATTTTCCATCACATCAATAATTTTTTCTTCTTTTTCAACCACACATTTCCCATAACATCACTATTCAAATCAATTCTTAAATATGTAATTGTATGTGATTATATAGGGCCTGTTCGGTAGGGATTCTCATTTTCTACAGTAAATCAATTCTCATTTTCAACCACACATTCTTCAATAAAATAATATTTTCCTTCACATCAATAATTTTTTTTTCTTTTTCAACCACACATTTCCCATCATATCACTATTCAAAATCAATTCTTCCCCCAAAAATCTCTACCAAACAAGCACTTAAAAAGTTTTCTCTCGAACATATTAATTTATTCAAATTCATCACTTTGAGTTTCAATTTCTCATTCACCTGTTTATCATTTTTGGCAAGATCGATGTTTTCATGGAGAAAAACATGAATCAACTTGTCGAAACAATCCCATCAAGCCATTTTTTCCAACAGTCGGAACACCTCAAATTTGAACTTTGCAAAGTATCAACAAAATAACACGTTGCTTACATGCACTGTGGGTGCCTGCCATCTGCCATAAACACCAACTCAACTCGAACACGGCGCCGGAATTTAAAGCCATGTTTGTTTATATATACCCTCACTCCGTCCCTCACCCTTTCCTTAATCACCACCCCTTCATTTCCCATCCCAACCACCGTTTCTCGAAGGGTAAATACACTGTATCTTCTTCTTCTTCTTGCCTAAATAAGCTATAAAAATATAACACCCACACTCACTCTCTCACTATATACACATATAAATCACGTTGTTCTTTCAATTTAGATACCTTCAGTACTATGCCTTTTGAACTACAACTTCATGTGTTCACATTAAACAAACTTTTCCATTAAACCTCTCTCCTCTTTTTGTTATATATATAATATATTTGCTTGCCTTTTATTACAGTTCATCCAACTCGGTCAGTGTGTATTTTGTAGGTTTTAAGAATGATGAACTGCTTGCCATTATGGCCAGAACCCGTTGTCCGAGTTCAACATTTGTCAGACAGTGGAATACGTGTAATACCAGAACGCTACGTGAAAAAACCCTCTGAAAGGCCATCAATTTCTGAATCAATCGACAAAGAGATCAATATCCCAGTTATTGATTTACAAAACTTGTATTCCTCCAACGAATCCCTTCGCAGGAAAACTGCCGACCTCATCTCCGCCGCCTGCCGTGAATGGGGCTTCTTCCAGGTGGTGAACCACGGCGTTAGCCACCAGTTAATGGCGGAGACACGGGAGGTGTGGCGACAGTTCTTTCAACTCCCTCTTGAACTAAAACAACAGTATGCGAATTCACCGGCTACATATGAAGGCTATGGCAGTCGAACTGGGATCGGAAAGGACATTTCACTAGATTGGGGTGACTATTTTTTCCTTCACTACCTTCCCATGTCACTAAAGGACCAGAACAAGTGGCCAAGTTTACCAGATTCATGCAGGTAATTATTACACATTTAGCATGTTCGTGATGTCATATTCGAGAATATAATATTTAAATAAATAAAATGTGCCGACTGTAATTTTAACACGTGCAAGTAATATTTGCAGGGAATTAGTTGAGGAGTACGGTGAAGAAGTGGTTAAACTTGGGGGAAAACTGATGAAGATTTTTTCAGTAACACTAGGATTGAGTGAAAATCATTTGGAACAAGCTTTTGGTGGGGAAATTGGTGCATGTATTAGGGCAAATTATTACCCAAAGTGTCCACAACCGGATCTTACTTTGGGTATTTCACCACATTCGGACCCGGGTGGCATGACCCTCCTTTTACCCGATGAAAATGTACTGGGGCTCCAAGTCCGACATGACAATAACTGGATCACAGTTAAACCAGTTCCTAATGCTTTCGTTATCAATATTGGTGATCAAATTCAGGTTTCTCTCCTTTCCCGTCATTAAATTAATTTTCTATTTTTTTAGCTACATAAGTTTTTCGGGTTAAGTCGGTATTTGAAACAATTTTGTATTACAGGTGCTGACTAACGCGACTTACAAAAGCGTGGAGCATCGAGTGATGGTGAATTCAGCTAAAGAGAGAGTGTCCCTTGCTCTCTTCTACAATCCAAGAAGTGACACACTCATCAAACCTGTGGAGGAGCTAGTTACAGAAGAGAAGCCAGCACTGTATTCACCAATGACATTTGATGAATATAGAGTTTATGTTAGGACAAAGGGCCTTTGTGGGAAGTCACAAGTTGAATCATTAAAATCCCCAAAATAATTATGTTGTATGTTCTTCATGTCACTTTCTATCAGTTTAATCCCCCTGGCTATGTATCATGTATGTAAAAGTGGAATGTGACTCTGAACTCAATACCCAACTTGATCCGCTTGTCGTGCATTTAAATTTTTTTTTTTTTTTTACATTTCTCATTTATGGTTTTTCCGATATAGTACGGATGTATTGAATGTGCAAATAAATAAGGTTTTTCTTCTTTTTTTTGACAAGTATGGATGTAAAAAATAAATATAAATAAGTTTGTCTTACCGACTCGATCACTTTTTGTTTCATTGTGAAATATTTGTTTTCATTTTCTCAAGACTAATTATTTTGACGCGATTCACAAATACAATAATCTTGGTTACATTTATAGATTTCTTTTTTTCTTATATTCGATTTTCTTTCGATGATCTTGGTTTCACTTTTAATAATTTTGGCGGTAGAGACGTAACAATTTAAGAAACAAAAATAAGTTAAATTTTAATTTTTTTATATTGTTAAATCCGAGTCAAAATCATACATCGGATGTTCTTAAAAAAATCAAGGTGGTCGAAGTTTAATATATAGACCCAACAACTTTTGAGTTTGATTGGTGGTTTTAATGCTAGTAAATAATTAGGAATTGTTTAATAATAATATTTCCATTAATTTTTTGACTAAATGTGCGGCTACATAGGTCCAATGCACTTAAAAACGCACGTTTTAGTGGAGGTTCAAAAATTGTACTCATTCAACTTGAATCGTCACATCTTAGTGAAGGGAAACCCGTTTCATCAATTTTTGTGAAGGGAAACCTAATTCATGAAGGTGACACCAATTGAAAATAACTTTATATGCCCCTGTTTTAGCTTCATTATCCTTTTTTTAAAATTTTTACACACTCAATTTTAACAACATTCTTTTAATAAAATAATTTTATACATAAATTTAAAAAATTTCCTTATTTTTAACTTTACATTCTCCAAAAATCACTATCACAAAATTTATTTTTCTCCAAAAATGTATATATAATAAAGGGTAATTAGCACGTAACGTCTCCATCTTACACTGTTATCGTGAAAAACGTCATTACTTTTCATTTTTTGACATTTTCACTCTTATTTATATCTTTCATTGCGCAAAAAGTCTTTTTTATTCATTTTCTAAATTAAAAATTGTGAAATGACGAATATACACTTCTCTTTAAATAAAACAAAAGGAAAAAAAAAATAATTGTAATCATAGTCCCAATTTTTTTAAAAAGCGCAAATGAGTCTCAAATAAATTATTAAAAGATTAATTAGCACATAATGTCCATATCTTTCACTATTATTGTAAAAAACTTCCCTATCTTTTATTTATTTATTTATTTTGACATTTTCACCATTAATTACACATTTAATTGCACAAACCATCATTTCTATCCAATTCCACAATAAAAAGTTGTAAAATGAAGAATATATCCTCGTATTTAAATAAAAAAAATTAAAGAATTAATTGCAACCATTGTCCCAAAATTTTTAAAAAAGTGTAAATGAGTCCCAAATAAATTATTAAAAAAAATAGAAATTTTAAAAATATTTTTTATTTAAATAGATTGGTATATTCATTATTTCACAATTCTTTGTTAAGAAATTGGATGAAAATTGATGTAAATAATGGTTTGCATAATCAAAGATGTAATTAATGGTGAAAATGCCCAAAAAAAAAAGGTATGGACTTTTTTTCGTAATAACAGTAAAAGATAGGAACATTATGTACTAATTACCTATTTAAAAATTTATTTGAGACTCATTTGAACATTTTTAAAAAAATTGGGAGTATGGTTGCAATTAATTTTTCTTTTTGTATTATTTAAAAAGAATGGTATATTCGTCATTTCACAATTTTAAATTGAGAACATATATTAAAAGAACTTTTTGCGCAATGAAATGTAGAAATAATGGTGAAAATGTCAAAAAATGAAAACTATAGACGTTTTCCACAATAACAATGAAAGATGAGAACGTTATAAGCTAATTACCTTATAATAAAATATAAATTAGTCAAACATATTTTTTATTCACTTATTTTATGAATTTAAAAACTTATTATTTACTTTTTATTCACACACTATGTTGGTTAGCAAAATTTTATATTAAGCATCCCAAGACAGGTACAAGCAATTGATTTTTGAATTTTGTTGTTTGAATAGAAGAAAAAAAAAGTAAGAAGAAGTAATCGAAATGGTGTGGAGGGAAAATATTGAATAAAAAAGTTAATTATGTTTTAAACGACAAATAATAAAGTATCATGTGTCATTATGTAAGACATTATGTAATCAGATAGCATTATCCTTGATTTTTTCCTTCTTCGGCCATGTTTGGTCCACATTATCTCATTATTCTACTAATTTTCAATCACACATTTTTCAATAAAATAATATTTTCCATCACATAAATAACTTTTCTTTCTTTTTCAACCACATATCCTCAATCACATCAACAGTAAAAATACATTCTTATCTTCAAAATGTGCATCAAATGGGGCTAGTTTAAAAGGGGGTTAAAGACAAATCCCTTTAAAAGGAAAGTCAAAACCAGTTCATCAGCATACACACTAACCGCTAAAGTTGAATTATAACATGTAGATTTAAAGAAAATTTTGTTCATGAAATTGATAAACTAAAACTAAGATGGTCTAATAAGGTGGCTCCATTAGTAAAAAAAATCCAACTGCTTATTTTTCTCATCTTAGTGCTAAAAATTCAAAGCTTACTTTATCGAGGATTGCACAAGGAACTAGCTACTATACCCACAAAGCATTTTCATTATTTTACAGGCTTCACCATCACTTCATCCAACTATTCAATCGCATGATTGTTAAAAGCAATTTCCGTAACCAAAATCCAACTTATGTTGAACAAAATTTAAAGTATTATATCATATGATGATACTCAAATCATAGTATTCTTCAAGGTGAATAAAAGTATATTTTCCGTACTAATTATATCATTTTCTACTTCTCTTTCACACACGAGAATCACGCCAGATTCTATTCATCACATCAACCTTATACTTTTAGCCAATTACCAACATTAATTTTGTTTTTATTCACTTTGAATTTTAGTGGACGTGCATGGCACGGAACATATGTACTTCATTTCTATGAAAATTTCCACTTTTCATTTGTCTTGATCGATGTGTCCTAAAAATTTGTTGGTGAAAACTTAGAAATCTTTATTTTGAAAATGCAAAAAGACACTTGACAACTGGATTACTTTTCTTTTCTATGGAATTCTACACACAAATTTCGTGGCAAATAAAGTATATATTCCGATTATTGAATGAGGTAAGATTTGGATAAATCAAGCACATTTTAAGACCTTGTTTGACCATCATTAAAAAGATTTTTTTTGGGAAAAATAAGTTTGGAATAGTGACGTTTTGGAGAATATGTGGTTAGAAAGTATGAATTTTTATTTTATTTTACATGCAAAATATTTTATCGTAAGAATATGTGTGATAGAAAATGAGTTAAAAAACAAAAGAGTTATTTTAGTGTGTTCAAACAAGGCCTTCATTGAACGCCTAACATAATCGGGAAGCATCTTTGGACCACCCACTATAACAATTAATATTGGTCTATAACAAACTTTATAATTGAACAAAAATTTAAATGACTTCATTTATGAAAATAATTTATTCTTAATAAAATATAAGACAATTCTATTGAAAATGGGGAGGATGACGTGGAATGAGCTAATGCTCAGTAATCAAACTTTTTGCATATGATGCATGCTCATAATATAAACGTGAGTTACTTTAAAATAAAAAAAATATTTCTCAATATGTATTCACCTTTACTTCATTTCTTTTAAAAACCTTAGCATTGATATCGTGAGCTCACTTGTTGTATCACCTAACCAATCAGAATGTGGTATGGCATGTTATTTGGAACCCGATCAAATCTATTGGTAGTACCACACAAAGTGGTTAACATTAACAATAACATTGGACAATTCATTATTGAACATTGGTCATGTGCGCCAATTTTCCGCGCCTCATTTCCCATTCACACTTCCATGACATAACATACAATTCATAATACAAACATTTGGGACATATATCATTTTAAAAACATTCATTCTCATATTGACATTTTCATTTCCCTTTATTTCATGAAATTTCATCATTCTTATGAATGAATTGATATGCTCATATGCATGAATGACAATTAAAAAAAAAAAAAACACACACACACATATATATATATAGAGAGAGAGAGAGAGAGAGGGAGGGTAAGGTACCAGAAGAAGAGTAGAGTAACTCAGCAGCAGGCACGAAGGTAGAGAGAGATGCGTGTAATTGACAAGGAAACAAGTAGATCGAACCAAACAACATGAGACAATGCATGAAGTGGTTGAGAATTAAAAGGGCAAATAAATAATTAATAACAAAAAAATTGCTCAACGGATGTCGGCCCCTTCTTTTCACGAGACCGGAGATGGTTGGTCTCCGTCGACGAGAGTGCGATGTGAAGAGTTGGAGAAAGGTAGGGTTCGATTTTGGGGAAGTATTTTTCTACAGTGGTAGGGAAATTGTGGTGGTGGTGGGGGAGGGGGTTGAAGGGTTTGATAATTTTTGAACGTATTAAATACGTGGTTAATCATTTAATTAGTTAATAGGGTATTAATCAAATTAGTAAATTTTTTAGGGCATTGAGCCTAATTTCCCCTTTCTATTTTCCCTCCCAAGTTATTGCTCAATATTTATCTGGGCTTTCGACTTTGGGCCAATAGCTACTAATCAAACAAAAAGCCCATTTAAGGGCACGCGAGTGTAACGCGCACACCTATTAATTCCTAGAAGAAAAACTAGTCCATTATTCGTCAGTTCGCTCTCCCTATCTTCTCTCGTCGGTCGCCGTTCCGTGCTTCTCCATTTGTGCTTTTCCGCCATGGTTTCCGGCAATAAGACGGTAACTCCGACTTCTCTATCTTATTTATACATACATATATGTATAAACGAGTTAAATGTTTCATTGGCCACCAAACTTCGCTTTATGTCACGACATACTATCTAAACTTTACAATGCTTTCCATTGACCACTCAACTTTATATTTGTGCACTCCACCACTCACCAAACAGATTCTGTTAATTTCTTCGCCTACGTGGATGACGAAAATAATATGTGGGAGACAAACCCTAAGCCCCAAATCGACGCCCCCTAAATCCGAACGTGAAGTCATGGCTGCCTGAAGAAGTTTAACAAGGTCTTGCATCTTCTCTGGCAGTCAATTGAAGTGGACATGAAGGGACCAAACGAAGGTAATTCCCAAACCATTTTGTGATACTATTTTAACGTATTTCTAACTTCCTGGGGTAAACTTTTCTTTCGTTTTCCATTAATTGGGGGTTTCTTAATTTGTGTATAGTGATGAAAGATGGGTAGGTGATTTTGTGACAAATTCTTCCCGTTAAAGTTGATTTATTTACTGCTCTGCTGTAGTACTGTTAAAAATTGAATGCATATTGTGTCACTAGCTTTGGGCTATTTACCATTTGTTCACTAGGGAAATTGGGATTTTCAGGAGCTTTAGAATCGCATTTTTGAATGATTGAGTGTCCCTTGGAGTGCTCAGAAGTCTTATTATTACTGTTGAGTATTTTGTTCAAGTGTATGTGCTATCGAAATTTGCTATTTTTTGGACGAATTAATACAGTTAATTGAAAAAATTAAAGTTTAATAACAGTAGACAAACAAGAAATCCTAAGGAGATGCAGATCTTGCCGTGCATGGATGTCTGTTTAGTCATTTAATCATTTGGTAGATTTAATTAATGTTGGAATTATTATATTAAAGAGAAACTTTGAAGCTAATCTTGATTATTCCAATGTGCACATAATCTGTTTGCAAGAATGTTGTGATTTTAATTTCTTGCGAATTCGATACTATTTGTCTTTTGAGAATTCAGTAAGTCCATATCCAGNTCTTTTGAGAATTCAGTAAGTCCATATCCAGTAAGGGATGCACTGTCTTTGCAAGAAATTTCTTTTTGTTGGAAATCTGTGCAACTAATTTATGCTACTGCTTGTTTTTAGATTGCTTAATATCAGCTTGTGTTTATATTTCTGCTAAGTCTGCAATGTCACAATTGACAGAGTCTGAGCTTGTGTCCTGACTTTCATTCTTGATATTTCTGTATAGCATGGGAATTGAGAGCGTTGCGGACGAGAAAGAAGGTAGATCATTCGGGCTGCATGATGCTATGTGCTCGGCTTGTGAAATGGCACTTGTTTGAGAGCGTTCTTTGAATTGCAGACACCAGCCCTATATATCACATTCTAAGTTCCCCCGTCAATGTCTCTCTCTGTCTCTCGGAATATCAAGCATCATAGACGCCAGCCCTAATTCTAAGTTGTTCTAGCTATGCCACTTTGTTGGGCGGGTATGCGAACATTGAAATGCAGCTATTTATTAGCATTATTCAATTTCAGCTCTAGACTCGAGGGGCAGTTTTTTCAAGAAATTCGTGTCTTCTCGACACTGAAACCCAAATTTGTAGACACTCTAGGAATCCGTGCACTTAATAAGAAGATTACACAGTTAATACACAGTGGCCGTCTCGAAGATGCAAGAGCATTTTTTGATAAATTGTCGCAAAGAAACACGATAACGTGGAACTCAATGTTGAGTGGGTATGTCCAACGTCGAGAGATTGCTAAAGCCCGGAAATTATTTGATGAAATTCCTGAAAGAGACGTGGTGTCGTGGAATTTGATGCTGTCACTGTATATGTCGTGCCGTGGAAGGAGGTATGTGGAAGAAGGTAGATACTTGTTTGATAAAATGCCGGAGAGGGATTTTATATCTTGGAATACGATGATTAGTGGATATGCGAAGAATGGTAGGATGGATGATGCCTTGAGGCTTTTTAATGGTATGCTGGAGAGGAATGTGGTGACTTGGAACACAATGATTACTGGGTTCTTGTACAATGGAGATGTTAAGGAAGCTATAGAGTTTTTTAAGAGGATGCCAAAACGAGATGCAGCTTCTCTTAGTGCCCTTGTGTCTGGTTTGATTCAAAATGATGAACTTGATGAGGCCGCTGATCTCTTATTTAAAAATGGGAAAAGGGGTGACAATGAAAAATATCTCATTCACGCTTATAATACTTTGATTGCTGGGTACGGCCAGAAAGGTAGGGTTCAGGATGCTCAACGTCTTTTTTATCAGATACCAGTTCGTGATAACAAGGGAAGTGGGGGAGACTTGAGGTTCGAAAGAAATGTGGTATCTTGGAATTCTATGATTATGTGCTATGTCAAAGCTGGAGATATTGTTTCCGCAAGGAAGTTGTTTGATCTGATGGAGGATCGAGATACATTTTCCTGGAACACAATGATTAGTGGCTATGTTCATGTGCTGAATATGGATGAGGCGACCAAACTCTTTTTACAAATGTCAAATCCTGATACCTTGTCTTGGAATTTGATAATCTCGGGCTACACACAGGCAGGGGATATGGAACTTGCACGCAATTTTTTTGAGAGAATGCCTCAGAAAAATCAGGTTTCTTGGAATACCATAATAGCAGGATGTGAGGAAAATGCAAACTACAAAGGAGGCATTGAACTTTTTCTTAAGATGCAGAAAGAAGGAGAGAAACCTGACCATCATACTCTGTCCTCGCTTCTTAGCATTTGTGCTGAAACTACAGATGTGATACTAGGTATGCAAATTCATCAATTGGTTACAAAGGTTGTTATACCGGACATACCGTTAAATAATTCTCTCATTACCATGTATGCAAGATGTGGGGCAATAGTTGAAGCAAAGACCGTCTTTGATGAGATGAAATTTCAGAAAGATGTCATCTCTTGGAACGCTATGATAGGAGGATATGCATCTCATGGGTTTGCCAAGGAGGCCCTGACACTCTTTGAATCAATGAAGCAAATTGAAGTGAGACCAACGTATATCACATTCATATCAGTTCTCAGTGCATGTGCTCATGCTGGTCTAGTAGAAAAAGGCAAGTCACATTTTAGATCCATGGTTAGTGATTTTGGTATTGAACCGAGAGTTGAACATTTTGCCTCCCTTGTGGATGTTGTCGGTCGGTTTGGAC